AAAAAAAAAAAAAAAAAAAAAAAAGAAAGAAAGAAAAAGGTCTATCATGATAATGTTCATCGAAAGAAAGTTGGAGTGGCTATGTTAATGTCAGACTAGCAGAATTCTGAGTAAAGAATATAATCAGGGATAAAGAGAATCATTTACTAAGGATACAAGGGTTCATTCATCAAGGTGTACAACAATGCTAAACATTTAAACACCCAGTGAGTCTCAGTCCACCCAAACGAGAAAGCAGAAAGATGCCTTTCATGGTTAAAATGCAGTATCAGCATTCCTGAACCCAAACTGAACAATGCCCAAATGGGGCTGAAGAGTTTCCTTATGAAATAAACGGCATGCACTTTTACTCATAAAAAGCACAGTATTCCCTAGAAGGGTCAAAGGTAGTAAAGTGTTACACTGCTTATCGAAATATTTATGACTTCCGTGTCAAAGTCGATCAAAGGCACCTGGAGCGGACTCACCTTTCGTACTGCCTGTCTCGTGGTAATGAAGCGCCCCAATGTCGAAAGTCCACGATTAACATAAGCAAGAGGAGACAGGCTATGAAGAAGAGTCCCAGGAGTGCCAGTCGCTGACGGGGAAATGGACTCACTGTGGGCACAATGAAGTACCAGGCGGCCGGGCAGAGGTAGGAGAAACTGATCCTGAAATGAGACCAACGTTAGGACGTCTGAGAAGTCTCTATGACTGAGTGCTTCAAAACCGGTTTCAAATGGAAAGAAAGCCCTTCTCATAAAGGCAAAAATGCAAGCCCGCAGAAGCCTCACTGCTCTGTTCGTCTCTACTCTTAGAAGAGGACCTGTGTGGTTCGTGGCGCAGCTAGGATAAAAATCAGAAAAGCTTTATCTGCGCCTTTTCCAACCTGCACTTTTGAGTGTCATTCAAGGGCTTAATCTCGTGTTTAGGGAAAGTTCACCCGTCTTCCTGGGCAGCCTCATAATGCTGAAGAATGAACCCAGCTACTACCAAGAATGCTGTCAAGAAACTGGGTGGTCAGAAAATGTTTTCAACTGATTTTTCAAAAATGTCTTAAAAGGCTATACATGCACACAGTACAAGAAAAATTATATTAAAAGGATATGCCAGATAGGGAAAAGTGACTATTTTGCCCTGACACCACTATCTCTCTCTCAGAGGCAACCACTGTTACCCAGCTGCTATGTATTTTTCCAGGGATAGTTTAAAGATACCCAAGCATAAACAGACATACACATACACAGACACACAAACAGAATAATATATCTGTATGTCTGCATGTGTCTCTCCTTTCCCATGGTTTGACACAAATGGTAGACACCATGTCTACCATCCAGCACCTTTCTCCCGCTTACTCTGATAACTGTCCTGTATCGGTACACGTAGATCCACACTAATCTTTTTTAAAAGCTTCAGACAATCACACCGGGTGTGGCAGCTCAAGCCTGTAATCCCAGCACTTTGGGAAGCTGAGGGGAGGGGACTGCCTGAGCCCACGGGTTCAAGAACAGCCTGGGCAACTTGGTGAGACCTCGTCTCTACAATAAACCACAAAAACCAGCCGGGCATAGTGGCACACGCCTGTAGTTCCAGCTACCTGGAAGGCTGAGGCGGAAGGATCGCCGGAGCCCAGCAGGTGGAGGCTGCGGTCTCCTGATTGTGCCACTGCACCCAGCCTGGGCCACAGTGAGACTCAGACTGGAATAAAAAAAAAAAGCTTCAGAGTATCCTAACGCATGGAAAAGCGTATTCATCTGTGACACTCCCTCTGCATATTGATTCAAAGGGACCTCAGTGTGTCTGCTTTTAAAGTTCATTGCAACACAGAACCAGCCCCTTTGTTTAACCTCCTCCAGGGGCACCTGGCCGCACTGGGAAGGAAATGTGACAGAACGGGACAGCCTAGCGCTTGTCCAGGCTGAGGGAGCAGACTCATCCCACCTCCCTGCTGTGTCGTGGGCTGGAAACTATGATTGCCTCTGCCTTTGCGGGAAAACAACTTTGACCGTCTTTGCAGCCACCCGGCAAGGATGCAAAGTCCAGGGGCTCCCGGGGGCAGACCTCGCTGGCGACAGCCTTCCGCGGCGCCCCACCTGCCTGCCATCCTCCACCGGGCCCCAGCCGGGGAGGAAGGATGCAGCCTTACCTAGCCATGGGCTCCCTTCGGTGGTCTCAACGCCTGTCACCTCCTTTTCCTCCTGCCCTGAGAGGGTGGCCTCCTTGTCCCAGGCATCTCCTGAGGCTGCAGCCTGGAAAGACGTGGCTGGGTCCAGGCTCCCTCCGGACCCCGAGACCCCCGAGACCAGCGCCCCCCGGCCTCCCAGGCCCCCTCCCCGGACTGCCGCGCCAGGTCCGCTCCTCTGGCCGCTCAGGCCCGGCGGACCCGACCCGGGAGCCCGGGCGCGGGGTGGCGGGCCATCTCCGTCCCCCAGGAGCCGGCCGTCCCCAGGTGGCGGG